CCTGCAGCTACATGGCTACGTAGACGCCGACCACGCTGGAGATGTTGACAACAGACGCTCCCGCACAGGATTCATTTTTCGACTCCAACCTGCTCGACACATCTCCTGGAACTCTCAGAAGCAAGAGCTCATCGCCCTTTCGTCAGCTGAAGCAGAATTCATCGCAGCCAGCGCAGCTGTTCGCGAAGGACTGTACCTGATGGAACTTCTGCAAGAAGCGAAAGTGGCAATGAACGGGCACTTCTCGTTACTCTGCGACAACCAGAGCGCGATAAAAATCACGAACAAACCCGGCTTCGTCAACCGCACCAAACACATCGCCCTTCGCTACTTCTTCGTGAAGGACGAAATCGACAAGGGGAGAGTCAAACTCACGTACTGCCCGACCGGTGACATGGCAGCAGATTTCCTGACGAAGAAATTGCCACGTCAGCAGTACCAGCGCTGCGCCAACCTCTGCGGGATCACCAAGAAATCCCACGTGGCACACCTTTAGGAATGAAGGGGAGTGTTGGAATAACCGAAAGGTTATAAGCATTCCTGAAGATATTTAACTGTACCAGTACCGCATTAGCTCATATAGAGCACGCGGAAGGTCGAGGGTCACCCGAAGGTCAACCTGTCAGAAGAACTAGGCAAGGATGATTGAAAGGAGAGGGGTTGAACTAGCAGGCAGTTGAGTACAAATAGCAAACCCTAGATTGGGCTGTACTCGCTATAGAGTACCCCACTGCAGGCTAGACAATAATAGCATTCTGACACACCCCCATAGCCAAAGTGGGGTGTAATCAGCAGAGCAAGCAAAGCAGTACAAGCTCAGGGTGGATCACAATGTCACCACACATTCTGAGCACAAGTTCAAGAAGCAATAGTTTAAAGTTCACAGTTATGAGCAAAGCTAGAGGCAGTCACAGAGGGCAAGCGAGGAGGAGGAGGGCTGGCGAGAGGAGAGAAGATGAAAGGCGCCGACTGAAGCTGCAGACACACGGGCAACAGGAGCGGCGCGCACAGTGGCTACCGAGCGCACGAGGGCACCGGACTACGGGAGTATCTGGCTCCGCGGCTACGACGAGCACACACAGGAGCAACGGACCCACAGGCGACTGGCGAAGCAGGCTCGCTGGGCTACCGAAACGCGCGAGGGCATCCGGACTACTGGCGCTGCTGGCGTCACGACGGCTACCTCCACGCAATCTCCCCCGACCGTCCCACACCCCTCTCACACACCCCCTGCTGACACCCTAGCTCCACTCCGACGGTACCCCCCTTAAACCCCAAACCCTAGGCTCCCACACACCACCCCCCTCAGCGGCAGCTGTAGCAGAGGGAGACGAGGGAGGAGGAGGAGCAGGGGGAGGAACTCACAACCGACACCCCCATAGCCGCCACCCCCACACTCTTCACCCCCAAACCCTAATTTAGGAGAACGGGCTGTAGGAGGGGTGAGGCGCCGGTAGAAGCACGGGGGACAGTGGAGAGGGCAGGAGCAGCGAGGAACGGGCCGCCCACGGGCCTGGTAGAGCCGCCCGAACCGCGCGCAGGCGGCCCGAGCCGCGCGCGGGCCTGGCGCTTCCCGTACGGGCCGCGCGCGTGCCTGGCGCAGCCCGTACGGGCCGCGCGCGGGCCTGGCGCAGCCCGTACGGGCCGCGCGCGGGCCTGGCGCAGCCCGTACGGGCCGCGCGCGGGCCTGGCGCAGCCCGTACGGGCCGCGTGCCGGGTGTACGGGCCGCGCGCAGGCCTGGCGCAGCCCGTACGGGCCGCGTGCCGGGTGTACGGGCCGCGCGCAGGCCACGACGGGCGACGGGGGGCGACGCGCGGGTCCCCGTCGCCCGTCGCAGCGCCTCCCGGGGGCGACGTGCCGAGTGACGGGGCAGGAACCCGCCGCGCGCCTCGGGGCACACGGCGGGCAGAGAACCGCCGCGCGCCTCGGGGCGCACGGCGGGCAGAAAACCGCCGCGTGCCTCGGGGCGCACGGCGGGCTGAAAACCCTAGTTTCGACGCCGCGCGCCACGGGGCGCGCGGCGGACAGGGAGTAGCAGTAGCAGCGGAAGCAGTAGCAGCGGAAGGCTTAGGTGGTGGGCCCACCCACAGGATCGACCCAGGAGGGTCGACCTGCTCTGATAGCATGTCAAAGTTAGCTGTAGAAAGTAAGAATGAAGAAAGGAGAGGTTTGCACTAGCAACAATGGTGGTACAAATAGCTAACCCTAGAAGGGTTGTACTCGCTATAGAGCACCCCACTGCAGGCTAGAGCATAATATTCTGACACAACCGTCGAGAGAAGTCAACGGGACGTGACCCTTGACCACCCAGTAACCGCGCATCAATTGTTCGCTGCAACATTGTAACTGTCAAGAATAGCAATAGTCGTGGTTACTGTAGCTATGCAATACAGTTAATAAGGGAATGTACCCCTCAGAGTACATGGCTAGCTAGTTTGCTATTTAATCTCTTGTACTCTTATCTCTTAATCATCTTGTTCTCCTTCAAATATTACTCAACAAGGTCACTACAGAGACTTTATTGTCTCCTCTCAGACTTAACAGATTTCATCCTATCTACTTGATTCTTGGTTATATCAGCATACTGCATAACCTTAGATCTCGTGTTAGAGCTCTAGGCCCAAATTGCGCAAGATTATTAATCTTGCGTATGGCTCAGGGCTGGGCGGCTTGGGAAGCAAACGCTAACTCGAGCAAGGTGTTCGGGTGGTTTTGGTTGGCTGATTTCGCAATATCTCTCGCTAACTTCGCTGAGTCAGCCAACCTACGGGCAAACTTCCTGTTTGGGCCCTCGAGTTCCAAATTGCAGAATAAGAAAACTTGAAGTTTGAGCAGTGGGTTTGGCAACGACCAATCGGATTCCTTCGTACCGACTGTAACCCTACACTCACCAACTCACTGTCAGAATGTGATGGTTGTCTAGCCTGCAGTGGGGTACTCTATAGCGAGTACAGCCCTTCTAGGGTTTGCTATATGTATCCCTATGCTTGTTAGTGAAAACCCTTCTTGCCTGTTTCTTCTTTCTGCCTAGTATTTTGACATGCTATCAGAGCAGGTCGACCCTCCTGGGTCGATCCTGTGGGTGGTCCCACCCGTTAGCTTCCGCTGCTACTCAGCGTGTCGCGCGCCCCGTGGTGCGCGACGGATTTTTCTTCCCGCCGTGCGCCCCGAGGCGCGCGGCGGTTTTCTGCCCCGTCGAAGCCACCCCCCCCCCGGTCGCCCGTCGCGTCGCCTCGCGGAGCCGCGCGCTGCCCCCCGCTGTCTCGTCGCGACGCTCTGGGGAGCCGCGCGCGGCCCCCACTACCCCGTCGCGACGCCTTGGGGAGCCACGCGCGACCCTTCTACCCCATCGCGACGCCCTAGGGAGCCGCGCGCGACCCCGCTGACTCGTCGCGGCGCCCTGGGGAGCCGCGCGCGACCCCGCTGCCCCGCCGAGGCGCCCTGGGAACCACACACCCTCCCCCTGGCGCTGCTGCCTGTGTTAGGGTTTGGGGGTGGCGGGTGTGGGGGTGGCGGGTATGGGGGTGACGGGTGAGTGCGCCATCCCCTGCTCCTCCTCCTCCTCCGTCTCCCACTGCTGCAGCTGCCGCTCAGGGGGGTGGATGTGTTGGAGCCGTCAGGAGGGGGGTGGCGTGTGAGCGGTGCTAGTGGTTCAACAGGGAGTGTGTGAAAGGGGTGTGGGACAGTTGGGGGAGGTTGACAGGAGGTAGCCGGTGTGACGTCTGCAGCGCCAGTAGCCCGGGGGTTGAGTACTCCGGTAGCCCAGCGAGCCTGCTGCGCCAGTCGCCCGTGGGTCCGTTGCTCCTGCAGCTTAGTGCGGAGCCAGTTACTCCTGTAGTCCGGAGGTTGAGTGCTCCGGTAGCCACTGTGCGCGCCGTTCCTGTTGCCCGAGTGTCTGTCGCCGTGTAGTCCGGGGCTCTGCGCCTGGTAGCGACAGTGCTGCGCGCTTCTGTTGCGCGTGTGTCTGCAGCTTCAGCCGTTGCCTCCCATCTTCTTGCTCCCACAGTTTCTCCTCCTCCTCACTTGCCCTCTGTGATAGCCTCTAGCTTTGCTTGTATTTGTGAACCTACTGCTCTGCCTGCTTGTTGTGTTGATTGTACCCCACTTTGACTATGGGGGTGTGTCAGAATGGCAAGATTAGTAATCTTGCTCAGCGCGGCCCGCAATTTGGGCCTTGAGCTTTAAGGGCTCAGGTTTGGATTTGGCCTACTCATGATTGGCAGTGTAGCTTTTTCAAAAACCCTTATGGGCAGTGTGTACTTTTGTGTTACACTGATAGAGCAGTGTAACATTGGGTTTTAAATTTTTTTACCCTTCATTAGTGTGGTTTTTTTTCGACAAAAACTAGTAATTTGGGGGGTGGAGGAATGGCGGTGTGTGGCGAAACTGCTTGCTGTGCTTGCTGAACCAACACGGCAATGCATCCAGACAGAACCACCATGGCCGCCTCGGTGGGTGACGCGGATAGCACCGACAGTTGCTGTAGTTGTTGTAGTGTTTGTGTTTGGTTTCTCGGCGTGCTGGCAAGGGAAGCATTCCTAACAGACCAATCGGACACGTGACTGCGGTCTATGCACGTACTGCACGGAAGAAATCCTCGGTACTTCCGTGAGGGAATCACGATCTGACAAATTTCGGGGAAAGGGGGGGGGGGGGGGGGGGGGGGGGGGGGGGGGGGGGGGGGGCGGGCTATTCAGTGTCATCTTCGCTAAGGGAAAATTTACCCCAAGGCATCAGTGTGGCCTATGTAGATATACTTACAGATCAGTGTAACACTAATTCTCCAAAAAATTACCCCAGCACATCAGTGTAGACCCAAAATTTCACCCTTGTAATCAGTGTACCGTATAAGGGTAAATTACACTGATAACCTGAGCCCTGGCCTTGAGCTTTAAACAATGGGTTTTTACTGTACTCGAAGAATGTTTGACCCAATTGAATCAATTTAGTCCATGCTGTTTGACCCCGTATCTTTCCTTTGAAAGCAGAGTCGACGGGTTCACTCAAAGCGACTGAACCACTGATGCTCTGCAACCAAATCGAGCCAGTCAAAAGGGAGTCGGCATGAAGAGAGACATATGAGTAAGGAGAGATGTGAAAAGAGGGCGGAAGGGAATATGAGGAAGGGTAAAGGACGGGCAAACAGAAATGCAAAACACAAGGGAAAACTCTCCACACAAAAATGCACCATGTGGGAAGCAAATAGAAACACGCTTGCAAGCCCATCGTCCTGCACATGACCTCCCTCAGACTCGACTTGTGAAGCTTCCAGTGCCTAATGTTCCCACATGCCGTACCTCCCATGAACCTTACCCAACAACACCCACCTTATCCACCAAAACTCATTTCATCAAACGGCAAACGGCACCCACCTAGAGCCCCCTGTGCCAAGACCCTCCTCCTTTGGTCCTGATCCAACTGTTGCAGAATCCAATGTGTTTTGAGTCGACTCAAAATAAACCTAACCGCACCCACCTTACCCAACACCATGTACCCACCAGCACCCACCTAAAGCTTCTTGTGCTGAGACCCTCCGCTTCTGATCGCGATCCAGCATCTTGAGAATCAGATCTTTCCCCTCCTCCGACACGCCCCTCCATGCCGATCCCTTAAACCCCACCTCCTCCTCCTTAATCGCCCGCGCCACCCCTGCCTCCGTCTCCGCCCAAAACGGCGGCACCCCGGCCAGCAGCACATACAGGACAACGCCCGCCGACCACACGTCCGCCGGCGTCCCATACGACCCGCCAATCACCTCCGGCGCGATGTAAAACAGCGACCCGACCGCATCGCTCAGTGGCTTTCCCCCCGGCTTGAGGAACGCGGCGACGCCAAAGTCGATGACGCGGACGTCGGTGTGGGAGGAGGGGTGGGCGAGGAGGATGTTTTCGGGCTTGATGTCGCGGTGCAGCACGTGGTGGCGGTGGTGGCAGCTCTGCAGCACGCCCAGCACCGCCCGCATCACCACCGCCGCCTCCCTCTCGCTGTACCGCCGCCGCTCCTTGATGCGGTCAAACAGCTCCCCGCCCGAGCACAGCTCCATTATCAGGTGGATGGATTGAGGGGTTTCGATGGCTTCTTCTAGGTGGATTACGTTGGGGTGGGATTTGAGGAGGTTCAGGATGGCGACTTCGCGACGCACGTTTTCGATGTCGGATTTGGACTGGATGGTGGGGAGGGGTAGGAGGAAGACAAGGGGCAGCACAGGGAGGGGGTAGAGCATGTGAGGGAGGAGGGTAGGGGAGGCAAGAAACACGAAAATGGCACAAATGTCACAAATGGCACAAATGGCACAAATGGCACAAATGGCACACATGGCAGACGACAGAAGAAGCACGAAAAAAAGTGGACGAGGAGGGGAGGAACAACAATCAGACGGAGCACAAACAACACACACCTTGAAAGCCGCCTTGTTGATGGTCTTGCATGCAAGCCGCCTCCCCGTGCTGCGACACACCACCACCCGCGTCACCCCAAACTGCCCCGCGCCCAGCTCCTTCCCTCCCTGCACCTCATACCGCTCGTCCACCTCCCCAAACACCCCACCCAGCACATTCACCCCCACAACCCCCACGCCCATGCCTGCAGCCGCCCCAGCAGCGGCAGCGCCAGCAGCAGCGAGGAGTTTGGAGAAGGAGGAGAGGCCCTTGGCAGCGAGGTTGAAGAGACGGTTGCGACTCGCCTTGAAGAACCGCGTTCGGATGTGCAGCTCCGCCTCCTCCCACTGGGTTCTTTCGTCCGCTTCTGTGTCTGCACCGTGTGTGCCTGCGGCTGAGTCGGCACCAGCAGCAGCAGCAGCAGCAGCAGCAGCAGCAGCAGCAGGCAGGGTTTGGATGGGCTCGCAACGGCTGCTCCCATCTGCCTTAGCTTCCGCCTCGCCTGTGCTGGCAGCAATGGCAGCACCGGGTGATCGCCTGGAAAGCGACCCACCTTCCCCTCCATCCTCCCTCCCTGCCGGACTCAATTCTTTCGGGTCTGCCCATGTAGCCGCCCTCCTGTGCCAGCCTCTCCCTCCGCCTCTCCCCCCGCCCCTCCCTGAATCATCCCCAGCCGCTTCCCCTGAAGAGTTCCCTCTGCTGCCGCTCTCCACCGCACTACACACATGCTTCACGAGCCCTCTCCGAACAATTCTTTCAGACCCCATTCTTGCCTTGCCGTCTCCCGCTGCTGCTGTGCTGCTAGGACTGCCCTGGTTATCCCGGTTACTCTGGTTACCCGGTTGCCCTGATTACCCTGGTTGCTCGGGCTGCTGTGACTGTGATTGCCCAGGATGTCTGATGCTGATTCTGCTTGCTGCTTGCTGCATCCCAGACCTCCTGATCCAGAGTCCATGGATTTACTATGGGACCGATTCCCCGGTCGTCTCTGCTGCACTTCCCCTCTTCTCACACCTTCACCCACTCCCCTCGCTTCTCTCACTCCCCCTGCTCCTCCTCCCCTCCCTCTTCCCCCTCCCTTTCCCTCAATCCTGCCTTCCACGGTCTTGGCTCGGGATACTCGTCCACTAGCCAAATCCTCAGCCTCGGCAGCGCAGGCTCGGCCCGAACCTCGAACCCGTTCCTCTAGGGATCGCACCCTGTTCACCTCGACAACACCATCCCAACCTGGAGAATACTCAGGTTCGGGAAATTTGCCCTCCGGAGCCGTATCTCCTGCTTCGGAGCTCTTGCTCCGGGGGTAGGCGTGCCGAGCCTTGGAGGCAGGTCCGGCGGGGGGGGCGTGGGGGGAAATGCAGGTGGGGGAAAGAGGCGGAAGAGAGTCCTTCTTTCGAGTCACGCCGTGAAAGGCCAGAGGGATAGGCGATGTGCCATAGGGTTTTACAGCGTCTTGGAAGGGGGGGTGAGGAGAGAGGGAGTGAGGGGAGGGAGAGTGAGGGGAGTAAGGGTGGCGAGGGAGAGTGTGGGGAGAGGGGGAGAGAGGGATTGGGGAGGGAGGGGAGGGGGAGAGAGGGCTATCGTGCAGATCAATCTGAGATTCCACAAGCCCCGGCGACACGACCAGCACCGGCGCGGAATCGAGAGGCAGATCCGCTAAGCTAATCTCGCGCTCCCACCCGCTCGCTACAACCGCGCTCGCTACAGGAACATCGTCATCATGACCCGCCGCCCAGTCATCCGCGAACGCGAGCGCGCACCCGTCGCTGCCTCCTCTCCTCCTCTCGCGTCGCCTCTCCATCCGAGTCGCTTCCGCGCGACCCCAGTCGTCCCCTTCACCTTCCACTAACTGATCTCCAGTTGAGTCCATCGAGCCGCCTCTCCTAGTTGACCTTTCTATTGCCGACGCTCCGTGCGAGGCTCTTGGGCTATGGCTGGAGCCGCTACTAGTACCGCGCTCCGCGGCCTTTCCAGGAAACCCGGGCGGGTGTAAACACCCCATGTCGGGAAACGAAACTGATTTTTTCACATGCCCGTTTCTCTGCCCGAGCGGCTCGCCCTGCTGCCCCTGGAAAGTTTCTTGCTGCCCGTGAAAGCTCCGTGTATGACGACCTCCCGACGACGAAGAAAGAGCGCCTTTGGGTGATTTAGTCGCCTGAGCTCTACTCGCCTCTTCCCTGGCGAAAGAAGCGCTTCCGCCCGCGGTCGGCGCAGCGGGAGACTTGGGCGGAAGTAATGCCGCGGGAGGGGGAGGGGGAGCCGCGGCGGATGCTCCGAACGATCGAGTCGCGCCCCGGGAGATCGAGCCGGGGGACTTCGCTCCCGCCATCACTGATTGCGCCGTGGATGCGCACGCCGCCGCCGTCGCCAGCGGCGCTGATCGCGGGCTGCGCTCCGGTCCCGCCGCGGCTTGCGGCCTCGCGGAACCTGTCGCGGCGGAAGCGACCGTTACAGGGTTACATTCGCTTGCTTCGCCAATCTGTAGAGTCAGTGGGCGACGTCGCGACAACATCACCGCCGGCGCTTCCGATTCCCTCCATTTCGCGGCGGCGGCGCCCGAATGTTCTGAATGTAGCAACCCGGCTGTAGTAGCATGATCCTGCTGCCGCAGCTGCTGCTGTAACGCCTGCTCCCACGAAGGTGCATTGGCGACAATCGCGGCCGCCCGGCTCTTCAACTGCTGCCGCCGCTCCTCCTCTTCCCTCTGTCGCTCTTCCGCCTCCCGCCGCTCCTGCTCACGCTGTTCTTGCGCGCGCCGTTCCTCCTCCCGCCGCTCCTGCTCGCGCTGTTCTTGCGCGCGCTGTTCCTCCTCCCGTCGCTCCTGCTCCGCGCGGAATTCCCGCGCGCCTGGCCTACCCGCGGTTGCGATGATCGTCGCCGCGCGGGTTACCAGCTCCTGCTTTCGCCGCTCCTCGTTCTGTTGCCTCTCCAGCATCTCTTGCCGCGCCTTTTCCCGCCGCTCCGCCTCTTCCCGCTTCTGGCGCATCTCGTGCGCCGTCGGCTGGTGCAGCCGCTCCATCAGCTCCCGCGCTTTCGCGATCCGCTGCGCCGCTGCCTCCGCCGCTTCTGCCGCCTCTGCCGCGACGGAAGGCTCAGCAGCCGTAGGAGCAACCAGCGGAGCCGCATTTGCCGCTGACACGGATGCCGCCACCGCCGCCGCCGCCGCCGCGACTCGTGCGCCGAGATCCGCTCCCGCTGACCCCGCCGCGGACGAGCGCCTGTGGAGGTTGCGCTCATGCGCTGCGCTCGAAGCGGGGGGAGGTACGGGGGAGGATTTTCCGCCAGCGCCTAGCGAAGCGGAGCGGGGGAAAGAAGGCTTTTGGCCGCGGGTTTGCGGACGCGAGCCGGTGGGAGCGAGCGCGCCGGGAGCGGGGGCGGCGGAGGGGTTGAATTCCGCCAATGAGAGCGCAGTACCCTGGATCTCCGCGCATTGTTGCGGCGACTCGGATGAGCTTCCGCGGTAAATGCGGCCCGAACCGGGAAGGGTTCGGGCGGGCCGGCGATCGAGCGCCGCTGACTGCATGATCGAGCCTCGCGTCACAACTACTACGGTGGTACTATCGGGGCGGTGCCGTAATCTAACCACATGCAGCACAGGATGCACTAGATTCAAAGTATGTTGTGCTGTTGGATTCTCGGAAATGAATTCGAAGTTAAATCGCTAACCGGCGAGAGTTATCGCTTAGCTCCAAGCCTGGCCGAATCCGGGAATGCGGGCATGAGGAGCAGTTTCACCAGCTGCTTCGTTCCGAATGTGTCAGATTCAACGGTACTGTTCGACAGGCAGGCCCCTCCTTGGAGGGCTAGGGTTAGGCTAGAGCTAAGAGGAGATTTCCGTAAAATTTCTCCTAGACCACACCGCCCCCCACCAAATCGGAAGCAGCGCGCCCCCTCGTCGGAAGGAGGGGGTCGTTATGGCGATGTTTCAACCCCTCCTTCCACCATTGGGATCGTGGGCAGGGTCAAAAAGTTTGCCCAGTGATCGCATGGGAACATGGGTAACCCAAGGGAATAAAAAAACCTGAGACCCCTCTGGTGTGTGGCTGGTGACTGGTTTGGTTGAGCAGGGGAGGGGACATTTTCAGGGCAGAGATGGGAGGGGCTAGGGAACGGGCTCTGGTTGGAAACAATTCGTAGAGTATGGGGTGGGTATTCCCTCCCGAACGAAACCCTAGCCTAGCTCTTGGCCGAACTCCATCCTGGGGCTTGGAGGGCTGGGCTAGAGCTAGGCTAAACTCTACGCGTGGGGGAAGGGGCTGGGAGCTTTCGGGGGGGCTGAACTTGGAGGGTTAACGTCGCGTTCGACAGGCTAACCCTTAACACTTCGTGCTACCTGCGTTAAAGCCCAAAAACAGCAGATTGCGGGCTGACCGGTGAAAAAAACACTGAAGTCGAAACAGCCGCGATGGTTCTGCGGAAGGGTTTGCGTGCCTGTCGAGCAGGGCCAACATCGGAGAATGATTTTCAGAGTCTTTCGGGACTTCGCGCCGCCCCTGGATGGAACGCCCCGTCTCACATCCGTCACAAAAATCCTGGCCCCCAAAACATACCTTCAAACTAAGCATTCTTCTTTCTATGTTCTGTGTGCTCTGTTTGTGCATTGCCCCATCTTGCAGGAAACAATGTTGCGGTGGTTGGTGCTGACGTGGCTAGTGGGCAAGCACACAGAAAGGAGGGGAACGGTTGCACGTCTCGTGTTTAGGGCAACGCATGGAATCAGATTCGCGTTATTGTTTGGCGGTACACGGAAAGAGAGGTTTCCGAAATCGAGTGCGGTGGCGGGGGAAGAGATTTCCATTGGTCAACATATATAATATCTATGTTACTTAATGTTGAGATCCTTTCATTCCTATTTGGTTTAGGGTGAATCTGGTTGCATCTTTGATGAATCTAGAACCTCAGAATCTGCTGGACAACATATGTACATTTTTTGTGGTTGAATCGCCACATTTAAACAACCTAAATAGAAGATAGCACTTCAATTTGCCGACTTTCACATTGTTCTCTTGCTAGCTTTTGATATGCTTTCTGTTGCGCTCAATAGGTAGACGTTGCCTTGGATCACCTCAGGAATGTTCGCCGGAATTGAGTGTTGCAGCGGAAGATAGTGACCCCACATCATCAGCGTGAAAGGTAGATGGCTGCGGTGATTATCGCATTACCCCATATATATGTTGGGCTGAGAAAAGCCCTTAGGATCTTTGCAGGGGTAAACTCTGGGTAGGAATTATGTAACAGCGGAAGCGTTTTAATGAAGAACTTGTGAAGCTCCTTGCGCTGGTATGTGAGGGCAAAGTAAGTTGATTAAAACGAGGAGATACGAGCATTTATATAAGAGTACAAGGAATATGAAAAGATACAGTTGTAACTACATTACTGTTGCTGTTGCGGTTCGATACAGTGACGACTCGGGCAACTGCTCTGTAGCGAGTCAGTTGTGTGTCCTTGCTGTCGCGCTGTATTTGTCAGGTCAAAGGTCGCTGACCTTTGACTTTCGCGTAACCTCCAGCAACCTCTCAACCTCCGAGGGTTGACTCGCTAGTGCTTCGAAAGGCTTTGCCTCGCTTGTGCCTTAATGTTTCGACAGGACAAAGGCGCTTAAGATTCATTGTTTCCAACACTCCCCTTCGCTTCTGGAGTGTCGCTGTTGGTGACGTGGCTCTGTCCAGTCAGCAGCATGCAGTACTCGAACTTCTGCTTTCCGAGCTTCTTGGTCAAATAGTCGGCTGCCATCTCGGACGTGGGGCAGTATGACAGCTCGAGTCTCCCCTTCTCGATCTCGTCTTTCACGAAGAAGTATCGCAGGGCGATGTGTTTCGTCCTGTTCGCGAAGCCGTTCTTGTTGGCGATGCGAATTGCCGACTGGTTGTCGCAGAACAGAGTGAAGCTGGGTAACTGAGCTAGCTTGGCATCCTCTAGAAGTTCGCGAAGGTAGAGTCCTTCCTTGGTGGCTGAGCAGAGTGCAATGTATTCTGCTTCAGCTGATGAGAGTGCGATTAATTCCAGCTTGCTCGACTGCCAGGAGATAGGACCGATAGGCTCGAAGCGGTAGATGTAGCCGGTGCGTGAGCGCCTGTTGTCAGAGTCGCCGGCGTGATCTGCATCGACGTAGCCGATTAGCCTAGGCGTTGTCGTTGCGTTCTTGTGGTAGGTCAGGCCGATCGTCGGGGTGCTGACGAGGTAGTGGAGAGCACGATCGAGCTCCGCCAGGTGTTCCGCTTCAGGCCTTTTGAGGTAGGTGGTGAGCTGGCTTGCGGAATACGATAGGTCTGGGCGGCAGGTAACAGCTGCGAATAGGAGGCATCCTAGCTTCCTCTGGTAGTCGCGTATGCCGGCGGGCTTGAGTGGAACGGTTCCTCCTTTGTCGCTTCTTGTCGTGTAGCGGTACGGCGTGGTAATGGCGGTCGGCGTGAGATTGAAGCGCTTGGCGATGGTGTCGGCGTACTTTGCAGCGCTGAGGTAGATTGCGTCGTTTTCTTCTCGGATGTTGAGGCCTAGGTACTGTGTGACAGTAGAAGAGACCGTGAACGTGAGGTCTTGCTATAGCTCCCCTTCGAACCAGGTGGTGATGCTGTACGTTGAGCCGATGTAGAGGAGGTCATCTACATAGACGATTAACAGGATGTAGTCTGTGCCTTTCGTGAGCCGGTACATCCCCTGATCGTGCAGAAGTTGCTTGAAGCCGATGCGAATAAGGCGAGCGTGTAGGTACTGTTGCCATAGTCGCGGGGCTTGCTTGATGCCGTAGAGCGACTTGAGTAGCTGGCAGACGTGGTTAGGTTCTCCGTTGGAGCCGTGCGGTAGCTCCACGATTATCTCTGCGTCAACAGGTGCGTAGAGAAATGCGTTTGCGACGTCGATTTGTCGCAGTTTCTTCTTCTTCATGGCGGCGATCGCGAGGAGAATTCGTAACGAGGTATGTCAGCTGACCGGAGCAAATGTTTCGGTGAAGTCGCGTTCGTGTTCTCGGTCAAAGCCACGTACGACCCAGCGTGCCTTAAATTTGTCGATGGTGCCGTCTGCTTTCGTCTTCACGCGGAAGACCCATTTTCCGGTAAGTATCGTCCTGTTTCGTGCTACGCTGATTGGAACGACTCTCCACGTGTTGCGTTCTTCCAGTGCCTTTAGTTCCCTGTCCATGGCTTCGCGCCATTTTTCCTTATGCTCCCCCCCCAGAGCCTGCTGAACTGTTGCAGGCTCCTTAGGAATGGCGGCGCCGTGGACTGCGGTGACGAGGCCGAGAATTTGGAGTCCACTCTGTGTGTAGCGGGGGAGTGTTGTATCCTCGGGATAAACCGCTTCGTCTCCCGCTTCTGGATCAGGTATGAAATTGGGTCCTACACGCTCTGCTTCGTTGGTGTTGACCCGTGCAGGTGTAACGTAACCGTTGTCGGCGAAGTCGTAGAAGACTTCGGCGTTGATGCTTTCGCGAGGATTTTCGTCGTCCATTGGGACGTCGACGGAGCAGTAGGGGAGAGGTCCGGCTTCTTCCAAGGCTCATACCACATTCTGCTCGTCCCAGTCAGCTTCATCCTCTGCTGAAGCGAAGGCTCGGGTGCCAAGAAATCCGCCCGAGGGATCAGGTCTGTTTGCTGCCACGTATGCAAGGTGAACGTCGAGGGTGAGGTTCTCGTAGAAGATGACATCACGTGCTGCGACTGTTTCTTTGCTGTTGATGTCGAAGATTTTCCATGCGTTGTAGTGTTTTTCGATGCCCAGGTGTAGTCCCCACTGTGCTCGCTGGGAGAATCGACCGGCGCGTGCAGATGGTGGTCGGTACTGTACCATGCACCCGAAAACTCGTAACATTTTTGTGCTGCCCAATTTTCCTGTCCACAGCAGATGCGGTGATGCGTTGTTTGGGAGGATAGCTTTGGCTCGGAGGATAGCTTTGGTGGCGCGCCATTGAGGACCGAGGCCGCCGATGATGACTGTCACGAAGGCGTCTTCAGATATCGACCCTCCGCATCGAAGAAGCTTGTCGCGCAGCTCGCGGCGTCGGCTGACATACGCCATTCCCTTCTCTCCTGGTTTCATCTCGACTGTTGTCAACTGCGCCATTAACCTGCTCTGGTTTACGCTGTCTGTTGCTTGATACAGGTTCTTCAAGTGGCTGTATGCGAGCTCCGCGGAGTTGCCGTAACCCCGGTAAGACCGTATGTTCTGCTGCTGAGTTGGTGTGACGTTCCTCAGCAGAATCGTGTATGCCATCATTGACTGATAGGTGTACTGCTGCTTCTCATACTGTGTGCCGTTTGTTGGGTATGGCAGGGACCCGTCAATGAAGCCGAGGATTTGCGCGCCTTCCATCATCAACTCGAATTCGAACGACCAGGTAAAGAAGTCCTTTCCGTCGAAAGGTCTTGATGTCTGCAGTTTTAGAACGTGCGCGAACTGCGACTGAACTTGTAATGCGTCCAGTGGCTTTTCTTGTCCAGGTGAAGGCTGCGGGTGCGGCATGAAGCTGATGGACCCGCGCTCGTACGGAGCAAAGGTAGGCTGCTGCTGTTGATTTCCGCGCGCATATGACGACCCGTCGAGGCTCATGGGAGTCACATCGTTGTTGTTGTTGCTGTTGTTTGACTGTGCAGGCACTGATTGCTGGTGTTGCTCGTAAAACGACATGAAGGAGAAGAACTTCTCCATCATGCTCTGGTCGAAGCTGGCAGGTTGACTTGCGGGAGTTTCGGTAGATGTTGCTCTTGGTTTGACTGTTGTCTCCTCCTCTGTCTGCAGGCCAGAGGCAGGAGGTGGAGTAGGAGTAGTGCCCTGGGAGCCGTTAGAGGAACTCCTTTCCTTCTGTGTTGCCATGTCTTGTAATGCTGATAACTTGGTAGTAGTGAAGTTTTCCCTGCTCGCTCTCATACCATGTTGGGCTGAGAAAAGCCCTTAGGATCTTTGCAGGGGTAAACTCTGGGTAGGAATTATGTAATAGCGGAAGCTCTTTAATAAAGAACTCGTGAACCACTTTGCGCTGGTATGTGAGGGCAAAGTAAGTTGATTAAAACGAGGAGATACAAGCATTTATATAAGAGTACAAGGAATATGAAAAGATACAGTTGTAACTACTTTACTGTTGCTGTTGCGGTTCGATACAGTGACGACTCGGGCAACTGCTCTGTAGCGAGTCAGTTGTGTGTCCTTGCTGTCGCGCTGTATTTGTCAGGTCAAAGGTCGCTGACCTTTGACTTTCGCGTAACCTCCAGCAACCTCTCAACCTCCTAGGGCTGACTCGCTAGTGCTTCGATAGGCTTTGCCTCGCTTGTGCCTTAATGTTTCGACACGACAGAGGCGCTTAAGATTCATTGTTTCCAACAATATATGCGCAGTTGTGCTTATATAAAAGCATTGGTTTTCATCGGGGTGCGCTTATGAACACGTCTCAGTGATACAAACGAGACAGCGGTGAATAGTGTAGTTCAAGGGAATTCACAAGGTCATAACCAAAATGGTTCTCACATATAATCACATGCTGGGGGACCGTGTTACCTGAACAGGCTTCTGTGTTTCCTCAATGTGGACCGAAACAACTACACGGCATTATTATAACTAATAACTGGCAAAATCACCTCATTACTCCGTCCTGGTAAAAGACAGAGGCACATGCAATAGAAGAAAGGGCATGGAATCTAGTTCTACAAGACACATGGGTTTACATACTCAACAGACTACATTCAGCTTTTCTTACATTATCTCCTCTCTCCACCACCTCCAGGCAATGCCTTAGCCCCTCCATCTTTACACTCCAATACTTCATGACCATAGGCCATGCTGTTGTCATCACCATCAGTTGCAGGTATGGAGCTCATGCCCACAGCAGCAAGGCCATCAGCGACTCGCCCACTGTAAGCAAAGATATTGAGAGTGTCCCTCAGCTGCACTAGTCTCTCCACACATCTTGTCCCCCACTAACCCCCTGATCCCTCCCCCCCCTCCTCCCATCCCCCCCACCATTCCCCTCATCCCTCCCATACCCATCACCCCCATTCCTGCCGCTCCTCCCTGTGTCGCCAGCCTCCGTCCAGCTCCCATCCCTCCACCCATCCCACATCCGCTCACGGCTGCAAGATCCGATGTCAACAGCGCAATATCGTACAGCACCATCTCGCCCTTGCCAAGTGCAGCTCTGTGCGCCTTCAGCACTGCCACTGTGTCATAGTCCGATTGTTATGCCTAATAAATCGGCCCGCCCAGTCGCTGGAGCGGTATAACGAGGCCGCCACCCCATCGCTCCCCTCTCCCGGCAGCCAATATCGCCCAGTCGTTCCCTCCTCACCCCACCTCCATCCCTCTAATCTCCCGCGCCATCATCCCAACTCCTCCGCCGCTTCCAGCCCTGCAACTCCCTCATCCCTCATCTCCCTGCGGCCCCTACCATCCGCAACGCCGCAATACCACCCATTCCCATCGCCCCCCCCCCCCCCCCCCCCCCCCCCCCCCCCCCCACCCCCACCCCCCCCCCCCCCCCCCCCCAAACCCCCCCCCCCCTCCTTCCCCGACTCAATGTGGCAGGGAAAGGTGTGGGGCATAGGGTTATGAGTCAAGTGGAGGGGAGGGGTTTTGTGTGAAATGCATGGTGAAGTGCAGTGAGGGACCGGTAAAGGTGAGTACCTGATATACTCTTATGCTTCCTCGTTGTCATCGATATTCCCTACAAACCACATGAGTTCGTAGCACCAATGGGTCACAAAAAGGGAAAACCAGAGAATGGGATCAGACACGGTTTTGCCATCTTGTGGTTCTTTGCACGATGATACCAGCACTGCTTGTATTTGCGATTGCAGGTTCATGATTACCTGTAAGTGGTTTTCGAAGATGAGCCCATCGATTGAGAAACCATACACCCCTGCGCTCGAACGACTTCACAATATGCACCACACCTTTCAGCTTTTCAATGGGAAAGACGCAGTACCCTTCGCTGCCCGCTTGACGGTGCAGGGTAACGCATGCTGTAAGCTCGTCTACCTCACCCGTGGTCCATGTCCGGACATACGCTAGCTCCCGTTTCTCTCCGGCATGTCGACCAAAAAGTCTCTCTGCTCGCATGAGCAACAGAAGCTGGCCATATTCACAGCCACCAGGTGTTCTTGAAAACTTCACACATGAAAACACCGGCCTTCCTTGATTTTTGATCGCTGCCCTTGCATACCAGCAGATAGCTTGCTGATCTGAATCAACGGACGGGATTGCAACAGCTCTGTGAACCTGCACAGGCAGGTGATTGTTGGGCGGAATACGTGAACGTCGTATAAGCTGCATATTGGAAAGCTTTGAACTTTTCTGAGTGATGTTTTTCTTACCTGTACCGGAAAACTCTGATAGCCAGCGCGCCTCATTGTGTCCCCGTATGGACCCAGGTCTCCACCAGTAGCCTCCATATATGAAGTGTAAATATCCTTGGAGGCTGCCCTACTAGAGTCGCCGTATGTCATTAGGTCAGATTGGGCAAGCCCGTCCGCATCGCCTGCATAACGATAAGTGGTGAACAAGTAGTTGAGGCGATGACATGTGCAACTGCGGCTAGTGTGGGTGACGCGGAGGAGGGATGATAATATGACATACGTCATAAGGGGTGTCCGAAGCTGCGTCCGAAGCTGTGTGGGGGGGGGGGGGGGTGTTGGAAGTAGTGCCGCATGACTAGTGCATGCACAGGGGGTGATACATACCCGCACGGCTGCAGTGTCGTACTTGCATGGCGGGGGGAGCGTGCTCTTTATGCGGTGAAGCATATCTTGCGTCACATTGTGCTTCAGAATGGCTTCCTCGTATTGGCGATGATTGGATGCGCGATAGGGCTGTTTGCAGTGGCGTGCATGTGCATTCTCCCACACGAAGGCCGCAAACTCTCGAGGCAGGCCACCACGACGAATGGAATCAGGAAGATGTGTAAGTAAATGAATTTTTATCAGGTTCCAACCATGGCCAGATCGTGGGAAAGCCGTTTCAAGCAGCCGAACCATCCTGCGCAGACAAGATAGGGACATGTTGTAAGCGTAAGCAATGGCCAGATTGGAAAACATATGCTACACGTGTTTGAGAAGCAGGGTTGATGGGGCACACGAGATCACTGAAACGGATGAACCCATGGCATGGCTGTGGGGGTCCAAGGGGAGCAGGGTAGATGGGGCACACGAGATCACTGAAACGGATGAACCCATGGCATGGCTGTGGGGGTCCAAGGGGAGCAGGGTAGATGGGGCACACGAGATCACTGAAACGGATGAACCCATGGCATGGCTGTGGGGGTCCAAGGGGAGCAGGGTAGATGGGGCACACGGGATCACTGAATCGGATGAACCCATGGCATGGCTGTGGGGGTCCAAGGGGAGCAGGGTAGATGGGGCACACGAGATCACTGAATCGGATGAACCCATGGCATGGCTGTGGGGGTCCAAGGGGAGCAGGGTAGATGGGGCACACGGGATCACTGAATCGGATGAACCTATGGCATGGCTGTGGGGGTCCAAGGGGAGCAGGGTAGATGGGACACACGGGATCACTGAAACGGATGAACCCATGGCATGGCTGTGGGGGTCCAAGGGGAGCAGGGTAGATGGGGCACACGAGATCACTGAAACGGATGAATCCATGGCATGGCTGTGGGGGTCCAAGAGGAGCAGGGTAGATGGGGCACACGAGATCACTGAAACGGATGAACCCATGGCATGGCTGTGGGGGTCCAAGGGGAGCAGGGTAGATGGGGCACACGGGATCACTGAAACGGATGAACCCATGGCATGGCTGTGGGGGTCCAAGGGGAGCAGGGTAGATGGGGCACACGGGATCACTGAAACGGATGAACCCATGGCATGGCTGTGGGGGTCCAAGGGGAGCAGGGTAGATGGGGCACACGAGATCACTGAAACGGATGAACCCATGGCATGGCTGTGGGGGTCCAAGGGGAGCAGGGTAGATGGGGCACACGGGATCACTGAAACGGATGAACCCATGGCATGGCTGTGGGGGTCCAAGGGGAGCAGGGTAGATGGGGCACACGGGATCCCGACAACAACTACACGCTTTACGAGGGTGTGATTTTGAATCGATGGTCACTTACTCGAGAGCATCCTCTTGCATGCGATCAAGGCTGGCATCTGTGTGGCTACTGGCTTGTATGTAGGTTTGATGCCACCCAAGGAGAAAGTTTAGTGCTTTATGTCGTGCTGGGGCAAGCTGACCTTCAACAATGAAGGTGATAACCTGAGACGAAGCAAAGAGTATGGTAAACATGATGTTATGTTGTACCCATCCCGCAGGCGCTGCACGCATAAACACGTACTCACCGACATCATGCCAGAATGTTCAGCCCCTGTGTAGCGAGCACCAGAAATGAAATATTGTCCTGGTATTGGCACAGGAAGGCCAGCTAAGCGTGCATCAGGATACAGCGTCAAGTACCTTCTGCAAGCAACAAATATCATCATAATAAACGAAGGATAATATAAGAGATGCCCCTAGCAGGGCAAAGCCCGGACACTATCAATGTGCATGCGTGTTTCGGTTGCAAATCTTAGCTATCGCACTCACTCTTCGTAAATCTTGGCAATATCCTCATCTTTGATTAGAAGAGTCACCACGTGCTTCCACACGCCAATGTAGAACACATGCAGAATGTCTGGCATCAAGGATAAATATGTGTTGCCCCAGGGTGTTGTCGAAAATTCAAAGCCCCAAAGGGCGGACTGGTGTGTTGAAAGGGAGGGTATGGGATAGGGACTCATGCTCCCTCTGTAACAGGTGACGATTTTCCCGAGTCATTGTACATGTGGAAGATGTGGAGATGTGACAGGTCGGGAATAATTTCGAGAAGAGTGTATTATTCAAACGAGGTGGCGTTCTCGATGTTGAAGCTGGCACCTACGAGCAATAATACAAGAGTTTACAATACCACGAAATCAACCCTTAGAAATACCACCCCACGTCATGTCTCACCACAAGGGGGATGGTTGAGTACTTATGGGCTTCATCCGCATCGCAGAGGAGCTTAGTCTGCCCGATCACCGTCCGAAGATGGACATGGCTCGTATCCATATGTCGTAGCCATTCCTTTGATATATAGCAAAGGGAGCACGGCCTTGCTGACTTCAAAGACAGCGTGCAGGACACCCTACAAGTCTCTGGGTAGTCACCAATGTACGCATAGAGCAGTGTTCGCACCTTGTGCGAAACACCCCAAGGGTCCACCATGTCAACCGGGCTGCACCATTGGATAAGTGGCATGGGCACGCATAGTAGGGATACGATTAGAAAGGAGAGTGTAGATATCATTTCATGGACAAAGAGTCATTATCCCAGATACGTGAATCAAAACCCTCATTCTCTGCCCACTCACCTGTCTAGGCTATTTTACCTGTGATGCCTTTCAACCCACCTACCCCACTCACCAATCTAGGATATTATACTCACCAATCTAGGATATTATACTCACCAATTTAGGATATTATACTCACCAATCTAGGATATTATACTCACCAATCTAGGATATTATACTCACCAATCTAGGATATTATACTCACCAATCTAGGATATTATACTCACCAATCTAGGATATTGATTTACCTCATTTGTTTTACCTATGCAATCAATTGATTCCGCACTGCAAGCTCAAAGTTTATGTGCCCAACTTCACATGCTTACTGTTTAGATGCCTGATGTAGCTCGCGAAGAATGATAGCCATAGACTTTTGGAACAACTCCACCTTTTGCAACAGGGTCATGTGCTTATCAAGTTCTGGCAATAAGGCCACAAGTACTTTTCCGGCCGCATGCCACCGTCTGTGCCACGGAATGTTGGCGCAGGAAATGTACACCGGCCAAATGCGAGTCTTCATTGTGCCATCAAGGGTTGTTTGGTCGCTTGCAAGAATCACCAGGCAGATGACTTCGCCATCTGGCACATGGGCCTGAAGGACGCAATAGAGTGGTTCAAACCCATAATGCGGGGGTAAACGACTTTTTTTAAGTATACTGGCTCGATCGCGCACGCATGTACAGCCCCATCCCAAAAAGGGTGGGGGTTTCCATGACTTCAAGTAACCTAGCGTGCCTTGTCATTTGCAGCCCTATTAAGACTTTGCAATCCACTACACGACAACATACCTACCTGCGCTTCCATCCAAAAGCTTGCACTACTTGGCGTTGTATAGATGTGATGTTTATTCGCATCTAGCCGCGGACTGGCCCATAACTGAAAGCCCGAAGAGTTGCTCGGATCTCCAAAAAGGTCACGCAATGCCTTATGGTCAAACGGGAATCGTTGGGATGGGGAAAACACATTTTGAGTCGGATAAATTGGTGTATCATATACTAGTATGCCGCATGGAGGCTGCACGGAGGGAGGGATGGGGAATTGATGTGAGAGGAGCATGGGAGTAGAAGGGAGGGAAGATGGGGAATCAAAATCATAGTCACATGACAGATTTTAAGATCATCTCCCCACCTCACAAGCCCTCCCGCGCACCAGCTCACCATCTCCCCAGCTCACCAACTCCTCGGCTCTCAGGGTGTGCGAACCCCCCAAGCATGGCACAATCACATACCTGTACGGGGCTTGTGAGCTTGACATAAAACGGTCGGGGCCAGCCATCCACGTGCACCTCCTCCATAGTGTAGGTTCTACTCCCAAGACCTAATAGGCGTCATACTTGTTGACCGCCCGCTTTGAGTTCCAGTCAGAGACTTGAGACAAATCTAGGCCTTTTGCATGTAGGAACTTGAGCAGTCGGGAGGTGTCAGGTGCAGACAATCCATTCCCTCGGTTGCAAGCCATGATGAGGAGATATAACTCCAAAGCTGTATCAAAGCTGAGGTGGTTGCTGTGTACATCCCTGCAACCACTGTCTGCGCTACTGCTGTCACTCGAGTGTGCGGCTTCATTACTGTGACTCGAGCTTCCGCTACTTGGTCTGATAGGTTGTATTGGCGGTGGGCTGCTGGTGCGCGCATGACGTGATGCTTGTCCTGGGTGTACTCGCGCATTGCCTGGAGAGTCTACGAAAACTGCAAACGGCCCACTAAAAATCCCCGCCTGTATGCAGCGTTCTCTAAAGAGCCGGCAGTCCTCATCGGCAGACGCGTGTGAGCGTAATGGGCCAGTACCGCGAAAGCAACTGCCACACCATTCGCAAGTAACTCGGGCGCGCTTCATGCCAACAAGCTGCTCGATGCGAGGCAACCGGCTAATGCCAGCAGTGCTGTCTTCGGATCCCAGACGACAGAAAAGTGGATCATTGAATCTAGTACTGACCACTGCAGTCAAAACTAGTACTAGTAGCAGAAAGTGAGATGCCTCCATTTCCTAGTAAAGGTCACGGCTTGACGGCTACATATATTTTTACTAGCTAACAGCCATGGATGAGATTCGGGCCAAGAAATAAGGAAACTCTAGAGGTGAACGAGCTGGTTTTTGAGAATTCTCAAGAACGCAGTGCGTCCTCTTGTCTTGGGACGGTGAAGGGCTCTAACGAGAACAAACAATTGTTCGAATGTTATTAAAAATATTCCGACCGATGATACACTCGGATCAAGAACCATGCTCATGCCTTCATACTTCATCGATAGGCCATTTCGTCCATAAAATGGAGCCATGCTTCGTTTTGGCGAGACTGTCGAGAGTCAGCTAGTGACGACCTCTCTAGTCCTTCTCTAGGCACGAGCGAGTAGCATTGCTTGCACGTCCAGCTCTCCAGACCCTTCTAGATGCGCATGTCCGCCATGGCAGCACACTCTAACCTGCCCAGTATAGAAGTGGTCAACCGTTTTTGCCAAACCTAACTTCCGTTGCGCCTGAAAGCCCATCCATGTAGCACTTTCATTGGATTAAAAAATGTTTGTTGAGTGTAGCAGATTGACTGCCCAGCCCTCGTGTTCTTTCGTTTTTTTCGCTGACAATGCGAAGTGACTCACGTTCCTCGTACAACGACGTCATACGCCCTACCCGCTGAGCTGTTGGCCACGGGTGGTTACACACCAAGCTCGTCATACATCCCCGACGATCACATGCCGAGCGTGGAAACAATGTTACAGCGCAGTCTGCCGTTCACGTGTTTTCGCAGCCAGGTGATTGTGTTCCGGTTCTTGCTGGTTATGCGCTTCGGAACCAATTCTTGAATGTTGTATCCCAGCGCCTCGGGCACGTATTTCAATCTCGCAAAAGCAACACCTTTTCACTTTCACTGGTTCAAGAAGTCTCTTCAATTAATCTCGACAGCTCTCTGGAATCCTAGCCATGGCCAGCTTAGGAAAGCGCAAGCATAGCAGTGAGGCCAGCGCAGTACCTCGTGGCACTAGACTAGTTCAAAAATTCGCATGCAAGCATCGCGCTTTAACCGCACTTCTACTCCAGCGAAAATACATGGCATGTATTGATCGGAACGAAGAACCTTCCCCGATGATTCTTTTGAAAGCGCTAGAGCCTTTCAGCATTAACGATGTAGGAAGCACCTCAGATAAGCGCGCTAGCTGTGAAACTAGCGTCCTCATAGCACGCAATGATAGGAACAACCCCCTTGCATTTATAGACGCACAGGTCATAAACGCGGTGTTTCCGTACGAAGATGCAAGCTCAAAAGAAGACGCACAACGCTTTCAAGCATGCATCACGGACTACCTTTCAGTCAACATAGATGCAACTGGCTGGCATGACCTTGTGAATCTTGTACGTGCGCAGCCTTTAGTCTAGACTATGAAGACTATTTAGAGTCTTAGTAGTATGCATAAGAAGCTCTGGCTTCAACTATGTGAAGGAATTTGCTGGAAAAAACGCCAAGGCAGAAAGTTCAAGTAATTTCATTGAAGAAGGCATACAAAAACAGAAAACACAAAGCAAGTTATAAGCAAAAGGATTTCTGATTTCGCCCTCGCGCCGCGCCTAATATCGAGCTGAGTTGTACTCGGCTCAATTCCCAAATCCAACCATGCACCGAACGCGCCTCGAGTTCGAATTTCAGACTTCCTTGGACGCGCCTTTGACCCGGCGTGACTTCTCATCACGTCACTTGATATCTCGACATTTCAGCTGTGTTCTTCTCCATTTC